AGAGCTTGAAAATGAGAAAAGATTGTGCCTTGGAGTGTGAATGCATTTGCCGTGGCATATTGTGTATCTAATGAATTGTAGACTAGAAAGAGTTGTTGTATATATGTAGAAGAGATGAATTCACTCGTGCACACTGGATGCAGATCATATTCTAAATCAATAAATGATGAATATGAGATAGATAATTGAGAACATGGACAATTGATAGCATCCACAGTATATTGTTGTTCCAACTGTTGATATTGTTCCAAAGTTGGGTTCATCACTGTGAATGTTGTCGTAGAATAGACCAGCCAATTGTAAACCAGTAGAATAAATAATGCAGCAGAAAGAAGAATAAAGTAGACGTACGTTGTTCGCTTTTGTTGTTTAACATGAGCGAGTGTGTTTTTATTTGGATCGTCGAATACATTTATTTCTTGTAACCAATGTCGAATTCGAGTGACCAGTATCAAGAGTCGATTCAGGAAAGGAACTAGAAAAAAATCGTCGTTTAAATTGACTATTTTAGTGAATAAAAGCATATTTACTTACTCGGTTCAGTAGCTACACGTTGACGTCCTCGTCGAGAAATAAAAGCGAAACAAGCCGTCATAACGAAGGGAACCAAGATGCGCAGAGAGACAGCAACTCCACCGAGAAGACCAAAAATAGTTGTGATTGTTTGCAGTAAACTATTATGCATTGCAATTTTATATGAACATGATGCTGGTTGACATTGATTAAAATAGGATGAATAACTCAACATTTGACTCCAGTTTTCAATAAAAAGTTCCGAAAGTAAAGTATTCACTGAACTGTTTATCAAAAATCGACTAGGTAGAGAAGAATTGAGTCGATCAGAATATTGAAACCAATTTACATTATAAAAGTTAAATATCATAGTCAGACAGTGTTGATTATCATATAAACATTCCAGTGTTGAATAGAGCAGTGATTCAAGAGGAAAGCAAGCCATGTACATGCCAGGTACTAGGAATTTAGGAGTTACAAAGTACTTTCTATTGTATAAGCCTACGTTTGTTTTACAATTGATATCGTTTGCACATGAACACGTATACGATGAATTACCACTTCCACCACTGTAACTGTAAGAGCTAAAAGTAGCAGCAGTCATAGGTGAGCCGATTGCAGTGTACTGCGCATTGTTTGTAAAAGCAAAGATTTGATTGACGTAGGTGATATTACGCATAAGCTGAAAAAACCTTAGAAATCTGTTCGCTAATCCTGATTGGAATTGTTCGATAATGGAGTTCATTTGATAATCAAAAATATCTACGGAGAGAAGATCACTCGTCACCAGTTGCGTTTGTTCGAATCTTTCGACTGAACTGAAAATCGTCTGGTTCGTTAACTCGCACAAATTTTCTAAGAAGTAGAATAATTGATAAGTGTAACGAAAATCACCCGCCGCAATAGGAGGGATTTGGAGTAAAGAACGCACCACATACTGCCATGCATATGATACGAAGACACTTGAGCATACTTGATGATAGGATGGTTGAAGTTGTACAAGTTGTCCATAGGGAGTGTTGATTCGTGTACATGGGCATTGAAGAGAAGAATTCAATTCGCTTTGTGACTTTAAGTAGAGTACGATCTCAAGTGATGGATTGTTTACTTTAACCGATTTTGTTTGAACAATCAATATCGAATAAAACATGAGAATAACCATTGCAACAACGAGACATAGAACGAAGATTCGTGTTGTCCATCGTTGTTGTTTGATATCAGATGGTTCCTGCCGAGCTGAGGATTTGAACATATTTAATTCGACAAGTGAACGCCATAATAATTGAATTATTGTCTGTATTCGTTGCCACCACGAAGTTCTCACTTCTATCACTCCTATTTAGAATAAATACTTTGAAATTAAAGAGAAGAAAAACGGATTTCGTGAATGATAATAACATGAAAATGCTAGATGTTAGTGTGTGTAAAGAGTCCTAAGATACTGGCTGAGTATTGGAACAATATTTTATTCCCCTTTTTAATCGAATCAGTTGGTGCAACATATCAAAGACACATTAACGAATTTCACTTGCGGATTAAAGTTTAGAAGTTGACTGAAAACTGGTGTTTGCCTATCAGTGTAAAGAAATATTGTGAAATTTTTTCTCTCTCATTTATTGCAAAAAAATAGTTGATTTGCAGTTTATACTAGTAAATTGCCGATGTGACACTGAATTCTCACTATTCTTTCAGTAAAGGTTTATGTTAGTAGCCACTGTTAAGCACACGGATGAAAAGAATGATCGGAACCAAATAGGAAGCTCATTTATGTCTTCGAAAAGAATTTTATTGAGGCCATAGGCTCAACTTTGCAATCAATATTGGGTAAATTTGAAACAAATTATTGATTCTTATAAATAGAGAACGTAAGACTATAATGGTATATTTTCAACGAATGTTATTGGTATTAAAAGAAGCTAGAGTGAAACTTACCGATGTCGACAGGTATCTCGATTTGATGTTTCAGGCGTTTGATCAAGAAGGCAACTACATATGGAATAAGAAATCGAAAAGCGACTGATAGGCCACCATAGACAGAAAGAAGAAAAGTAAATATGTAGAGAAAACTTAAATGTTGCTTAATCATGTAAGAGCATGATTGTGGTCGACATTGTGCAAAATAAGAAGAATAGTTCATCTCAGTCAACAAATCTTCAACGAATAAATTCTGAACGAGATCTGTAAAAGTGCGACTTGTTTGATTTGTCTGTTCTAATACATTCAGATTCAAAACGGCCGGTAAAGTCGAGTTGGACGTCCAGTTAGAATACTTAGCAATCAGTTGAAGAGCAGTTTTATTGTACAAAAAACTGTTCTCTACAGATGAGATAAGAAGTGATCCCAAGGCCCAACAACCTACGAACCAATTATTCATTACGAATGATACATCTACACTGCCTGGCCAATAAGCAACTGTCGCGAAAGTATCGACTAAGCTATCATTGTAAAAGCCTGCCATCACAGAACAAGTATCAGCGGTATCGCAGGTGCAACTACAACAAGCGGCATTTCGGAAATTAGTAACCGAATAAGTAAGTACTGGTATACCGTTCTGCGTGTAATAAAGTATTATACCTGTTGTTTCAATTCCAGATACCATTACATTCCCTACCATAACCGCGCGAATAAATTGAATCGACTGCTGGAAATCCCCATAAGTGCCACTTTTAAACGTATCGATGGCGGCTTCAGTATCAACACGCAATAGATTTTCTCCCATCAAATAGCCTGAAATAAGTTCTGTATCATAAAATGACTCAATATTGTTGGATAAAACAGTTTTTGATCGATTACACAATTCGCGTAATACTTGAAATTGTAGATTCGCTTGAGAACGAAAGTCTCCTGTGTAGCGCGTGGCCGTCATATTATCGATGAGTAATTCGATCCATGTTTGCGAGATAAAATCACTCGAACAAATCGCGTGGTAGATGGGACTTAATTGCACGAATGAACGATACGAAGCAGAGATTTGAGAGCACAAACACTTAATATCATCGTAAAGATTCTGCAATTGTAGATAGAATTCTAGAGAAGGATTTTGTACTTCTATCGATATTGTTTCCACATGCGATCCATTGTAGATTAATAGAATTGACATGGATACGAGAAGAAGGCAAATGTAGACACGCGTAGACCAACGCTGAACGTAGACTGTCTCTCTATCCACACGGTCTGTTTCGAATAAATTATATTCGACAAAAAATCTTCCAATACGACGAAGGCGACCAACATTCTCCCTTTCCTCCATCGAAGTGAGCTTATTTACATCTAAAATGCAAAGTCAACAAGTTTCTCTTCTCATACAGCAAATATTGATCATCGTCGTCATATTCTATCCCTTTCAAATGATCATTGATAGTGACAAAACCAAATTAGTTTTCTTTTAATCGGACAGATCGTTTGCTGAGCGATTCTTTCGATGCGAGCAGTTATCTTACTCCGTTCGGGTGTGGGTTCTCTCTTTGCCCCCACCCACTGGATCCTATAAAATTCCTTCAAAATCCGGGCGACGAAAACACTCTCGGATCTTTCCGGTTGGATATGATCGGACTCCGCTGGAAACCAAAATAAATTCAACGAAAAACTCAGTTATAAGGATCCGTGAATAGTTTTGTCAGCCAAATTCCTATCGGATTTATTCACCTGAGCTTATTATAAAAGAACTACATACAATATTGTGTTATATTTCAATCTGAATTTAGAGAAAAAAACATATTATATTTCGAATTGAAAGTAGGGAACTAGAGGAACTAAAAAAATCGTCTGTTAAATTCGCCACTTCAAGTCTGCAATCCAACCCTTATATTCAGCTGGAGAACTAAGAGACTAAAGACACTACGGGGACTGAAGATACTATCAGAAACAACGAAGAGTCCTAACATTCAAAGGAATAAGAGGACGTCATTGATAAATACCGGGACTTTATTAGAATATCAGAACTTTCAAGAACTCATACACATTTTAATTTCTTTGCGCAGGAAATCCATTCTATCTTGTACTAAATAATTTTGTCTTCGATAAAAATAATTGTTTTAATTCTGATCATGAAGAGTGTACTTATATACACTGTCGATTATCATAAAATAGCAACAAATTAATTTTGAAAGCTCCTTAGTCATCTTAGTCCCCCGTAGGACTTGAAAGGTGATGAGGGCAATAGCTGACTGAGGGTAGTTTCATTTGATTTAAACCAAGTAGTCGATGCGTAGGAAACGTAGGGTTTTTTTGTCTATTAATTATGAAGAATGTTGACTTTTTAGTTTCTCTAACTTCTCGTTCTATATATATTATGAATGTCAATTTTTGTCTAAAATTCAATTTGAAATATAGAGATCATAGACTCACGAAATAATAATCAATGTGATCCCTCTCATTTCATTTCGAGCAGCTAATTTGGTCGATTAGCGAAGATATTTTTTACTTCGTAGCTTAGAACTGATTTTCATTCGATCTTTTAGGAAACCCGATCTAAAAACGAGTGTTGAAGTATAGGGGTTAGAGACTGTTGAATAGACCTGTATCTGCTCGAATCCGGATCTCAGATTTTTGAATTCACTTAACTCTACTTAGGGGTAAAGTACAATTCTAACTCGATTATTATGAGATTATCGGCAATATTGCCTGAGAGATCTATGGAATGTGCTAGTTATACAAAGAAACAAGCGAGAAAAAGGAAGAACTTCGTATTTAAGAGACGACTATGTGATTCAAATATTAAAAAGATTTCTTTCAAAGTAATAAGAGTATAGTAAAGGTTCAGGTGCAAAAATTCTGGACGTCATGAGCTCTAAGACAGGTAAAAATATCAGATCCGCTCTTTCACCACCTCAACGATGAACATAACAGACAAATATGTAAGACCAACATTCACTGAAACATCTTTCATCATCGACATCCATTAGCAGTTGACAAAAGTTTATAAATCGAAACTCATCTTAATTAATTCCTCTTAAAAAATACCAACAGTACCATATTTCATATTTTAACCTTGTAGTAATTGAGCTCACAGCTTCTTCAAAGCATATCTACATTGTGATGTAAAACTTACACTTTTCACGCTCTCTGCTTATTCATTTCAAGGGACGATTTGGGTTGACAAAAGAAAAATTTGTTTTTTTTTAGAATCATCTTTGCAATATTCATATCAGAATTGGAAACTTTATACTTACTTGCTTATGCATTTCATGTATCAGCTTCCCCTAAAGAATGAAAATTGTTTTTCTCTCAATCCATCAAAGTTACTGTAACGTGAATCGTTTCAACGCATATATGTGTTTCTACTTGTGTAGTAACTGGCAATTGCCTTTCCTCTCTACTACTTTACTTCAAATGATTACTTGCAATGAAGTAAGAAAACTCGTTTTCTCTCGATCACGCAAAGCATCTGTTCAATGCATCTATGATTTTCATACGCAGTAACTAAAAGTCATGATTCTTTATTTCAAATGAACATTCTATCAACGAAGGAAAGAAATACTAGAGCAGCTGCTGAGCGGAGATCTTCCGTTCAGCTATGATATTTATAGGTAGTATCGATAAATCATAATTCTCTATTTCAAAGAGGGCTGGACAAAACTTCGATCGGTGAGAAAAATGCTGCTTTTTCACAGAAGATAGGATCAAGAATTCATGTCATTAACTTTGACTTCTATAGTAATAAAGCGGAAAAATAAACATGTTCATACCTTCAAATTAATTCACAATTATTTGAATATTTTCCAATAAAAAAATCAATTGAAAATTTACCTTTATAAAACTTAAATGAAATCGAGATAATCTACAGATTCAATAAACAACAGTTGTCTTCTTACAAAATCAAAATATTTCTATAAAATAAAATATAGATACGATATTATATTTTCTATGTTATATCAACACATCTTATTTTATAAAGTGACTAAATTTTCTCTTTTTTCAAAAAAAATAATTCATAAGAGAAAAACATCAATCCTTTTTATTAGTTTCTCTGGATATTTTTCTTTAAAAAGAATTATTTGTTTCTTCTTCCAGAGAAATGCTATTGTTTAGTAATTAGTAATAATACAAAAATAATTCTATATTTTTTCTATTTCCTTGGAAACAAGTTTTTTTGTCTAATGAAAAGAAAAACAAACTTTTTTGAAAAACTATATGTTAATATTCGATTTCTTTTATATCTGATCTTTGTTGACAGAACTCTTTTTAATTCAATAAAAATCTATTCTGTTTATTTAGATTAGGAATATTTTCTGAAAATAACTGTAGATTTATTTCTTTTCAATATACAGATTAATATATTTTTTTACGTCATCTGAGTATATTTTTATTTACTCTTTAACAAACTAAAATTCTTTCAACACTAAATAAGGATTTTTTAGACATTGATACAATTGCCTTGAAATGATGTTTTCTTCTTGATGCGGATATTTCTATGTTAACTAATTATTAAATAATATTTCATAAATTTCCATCTGTTTCTAAATCATTTTTACAACAAATCAATTTCACCTCTCTAATATATTGACTTAATAAAGCATTCAAATGAAATAAAAACTTAAAATTATATAAATCTAATAAAATACTTTTACCAATGATCAATATGCTAAAGTAATATAATAATACTGTTTTTTACCTTAATGAATATAATAGAATGATTTGGTATATTATTGATGAATGTTGATTTAATAACTATTCATATTTCGAAAAGTTTAACATCTTCTCTCTTCAAAATCGACTTCGTTTATGGTGTAACTTGAAGGTGGATGGGAGTGACGATGAAGTGTGTATGTGGGTTTTGTCATGTTATCTATACCCAAATTCACATCCACACCCTCAGAAAAACTTACTCATTTTTGTTATAAAACATAAATTTTTCATGTGATTTAGTTTTTTGGTATATCATGTGTAATCATATTAGTTGATATGATTTTTAAAATAAAAGGGAAATATTATTCTGTACCTGATAAAAATATTTTTAATATATTTTTGTATTTGAAATAAAAAATGTAAAATTATTACAATTTTTTTCTAGATTTATACAACCATATTTCATTTTATCAAAAGAAAAAATAAAGAATAGCAGAAACATATCGATATGATAGTATAAAAATAGATTTATTTCATTTTTTTTTGTTTGTTGATTCTACGAAAAATAACTCAATAGTCAAATATAAAACCCCAATTCTTGTCAGAGTATTAGCTCATATTTTTCTTGCAGAAATTAAAAATAATTAGTTCATTCTTTTGAATCCATGGTGATTTAATTGAAATTTATATCGCATTTTTCTAAGTAATATAAAACAATATTTTCGAATACTTAGAAAATCATTCAGCTTATCTGAAAAAGTCTTTCTCAGTTTTTAACGTCTCGAATTTATTACTGAGAAGTATATATTTGTTCTGAATGATGATTTTAATAGGTTAATATCGAAAAACTCTTAATACTTTTCTGCTGAAATAATTCCTTATTTTCTTATACATAGCCCTCACGAATATATACTAATATTTTTTCAAATAAAAACTAATGTTCATTGATTTTCAGAAATAGAATTTTCTCTCGTTATAAAATCTATATACACTTTTATAAATGATTTAACATAATAGATTCTTAGTTACGAATTGTAGTTTTCTTTTCAAAGTTTAAACATATATTGATAGTAACCAAATGATGCGTACGAGACTAATTCTTATATTACTGTTCGGACATTTCTTTACTATAGATAATAAATTATCGGGAATGATCAGTTTTGAAGACATTATTTTCATACTATATTCATGTTCATCTTAGCTATAAACGCTAACGTGTCAATTAATATGTCTAGAGTATATCTCATAATATACTTTTCAAATTTTATGTAATTATTTTTAATATTATTCTCAAGTAAT